CGTTGGAGGTGTGAAGGCTGCCTGATGGCTCGTCAAAACGGCAGTAGAAGTCGTTGAGGGTGTTGGCTAAAGTAGCCATGCATCATGCGGTCCTGCATATGACCATGTGTCAGAAAAGGAAATTAAAACTTTAGAAACTTAGGACACATTGAGTGGACAGCGAGTTCAAGTGACCCTTTGCACTGCAGCAGAGGAGAGAAGCAACACCCTCGCAGAAACTCATGAGTCACATATTCTGTTATTTAACAAATACTGAAAGTCTACGCAGCAGCAGACTAACACTCAGTCTAAACTGACGGCTGCTTTGTCACGAGCTGAAAACAGTGAAATGTTGTCACGTGTCTGCAGATCTGAGTCTATAGACAGAGCGACACATGACGCCTCAGCTGCCTCCTCTCTCCTGCTCGCTCTCTCTCCGCATCTCTGCCTCCATCAGGACACGGAGCTCCGCCTCGGATGCTGCTGGAACTGTTTATCTGATTACCAGATACACGAGCTGCGCTTCCTTAAAGCGACACCGTGGCCTTAATTAATTACACTGCCAGTGAGAGAGAAAGAGAAAGAAGGAGAAGAGGAGAGAGAGACGCCGAGGATGCAGTGCCCACCTCCTCCCTGCAGGATGCCGCGAGCCGCCGCTTCATCTCCTGCCTCGAGGTTATGAACTGTAATATGACCCTGCACGCCAGCAGGAAGACCCCCTCCTCTTCCCCCTCCTCCCTCCTCCTCTCCATCCTGGGATACATCCACGATCAGTGTATCACGCGGGTTTTTCTTCCGCTTTCTCTCTGCATCACGCTCAGCTGATGAAACTGGCAGCAAACGCGCGTCCCTACAGCCTGCACGGCATCTATGGAAGGCGTTTTTAGGTCCGCGTGTGAGCGTCCTCTCTGCTGTGCTGGCGGCCTTCCTGTGTTTCTGCACTCCTGTTTCGCCGCTGGTACTTTTCCGCTCGCACGCAGCAGATGAAACCCCGACTCCCTGCCTCTGCGCTTCCTCCCCGCGTGGGCTCTGAGACCTGCGTCAAGCGCGCCTCGTCCTCTCCGCGCCCCCGCCGTCGCCGTGCCGCTGATGCGGTGCGCCTGGGTGCTCGCTTTCTCCTCGTCCTGGCCGGTTCCTGATCCTCTGGGCCGGAGGGCCAGCCTCCTCCATCGGGGCAGGATGGTACGGTTTGTGAGCGCGCTGGGGCTCGTCATATTCAGCGTGGCGCTGCTCATCCTGTCTCTCATCAGCTATGTCTCCATCAAGAAGGACTTCCTGTTCAGCACCCCGAGATATGGACACAACGGCGGACCCAGGATGTACATGTTCCACGCGGGGTTTCGGTGAGTCCAGGCCAGGCTGTGGACCTGCAGGTTGTTTGGATCGCAGCAGCTGAGTGTTTGCTTTTTATTTTTGCATCAGTAGGAAACCGTTTTTTGGCGTTGGTCACACTCAGGCGAAGGCCTCTCTGCTGGGTGAGGCCTGCCTGCTTTTTCATTTTTACTCAAGCTCATTTCCATAATTTACACTCCAGAAAGTATGTGGACACCACATTCGCGTAAATAGCCTACATTGTAAATGTAAACAATGTCCACGAATTTAAACTTGAATTAATACACTTAAACATCTTTGAACCTTAACCTTCTCACTCATTTTTGTGTCCACACACTTGAGCTTTAAATGTTTCATTTCATTTTTTTCTGAGTAATGAATAACTGCAGTTTTTATGACTTCCTCTTTGGGTTCAGTAATTTAGTAAATCTGTGCAGTGGGTCTTAGTCAGAGGGGAAGCATTTAAAACAGTGTAACCAAGGAGGAAGTGCTAAAATCTGCTGTTCCTCCTACTTAAGTAACTGCTGACTTTGGAGTCAGTCTGCTTAAGGAGAGACTCCAGTCTTTTCGGTTTTGCTAAAGCAATAACTCCAGTAAGGACATTGTTAAAGACACGAGAAACAAAACTCTTATAATGACTCAGCAGTCTCAGAGAGTGTCCATGTTGTTGTTCAAAACTGTAGCTGTGTGTATTAATGTAAGGAATTCAAATTAAAGAAGATACTCTAACTCACCCGGGTGACCTTTACTTAGTTTTGAAACATGTTGTACTTCTTAAGTCTAGCTTGTCTTGCACTTTTTTCTGGTTTAGACTTGAGATCCTGATTTACAGTGACGGAAAACCACAGTGTTAAAGCATACAGTTATACAACCCCAATTCCTCAAAAGTTGTGAATCTGTGTAAAGTGTAAATAAAAAAATAATAACATGATTTACAAATCTCATAAACACAAATCTAATCTAATGTTTAAACTGATCCAAGACTGGATAAGAAACATATTAGCTCATTTTGAATTTGATGGAAGGAACATGTCTCATGGTCATGCTTAACTCTGTAGCATCCCCACTACTTTTAACATTGGTCTGTAACTGTCTGGGAACTGA